CCACCCTTTTCACACACAGAGCCGCAGGACGATCAGGAGGTTTTGGGCGCTGCACCCTGTCATGCTGATCTGGTGCCAGGAAGCCTCGCGGGCTCCGCTGATCCCGGTGCTGAGAAGGCATATTACCCTTTTACTATATAGGATAGAGGCCTGGGGGCTGGCTGGTTTGCCCTGAAGGTGTCCTGGATCAGGGTGGGGGTCCCCACTGGGGTGCCTGGGCCAGCCTGGATGAGGGGCTGATGGCTGTTTGCAGCTGGTCACACACCCTTCAGGGTGGGGGTCCCCACTGGGGTGCCTGGCCAGTCTGGGTGAGGGGCTGAGGGCTGCTTTCAGGCTGACTGAAGCTCCCAACCACTCCTTTTTTTCTTTTTTTTTTTTCTTCTGGGCCAGCTTTAGCTCTGGCTCTAGCTCTGAGGCTTCCGCTGCTGGTTTGTTTGCCGTTCTATAATCAAAACAATGTATAACTTCAGCTCTGAGATCCCAGCCGGCTATATTTGTTAGAATGTTTCAAACTGCCAGCTCAGAGGCCTGCAAGTCAGGCGGGGAACGTTGGAGTCAGCAGTCACTGGAGCAAGGAAGCCTCATGTTCGCTTCCAACTGCCTGGCTGCCGGCCGCCATCTTGGCTGACAGTTAATTTGCATAAGGATACGCTGATTAGCCAATTAGAAGGGTAGCGGTCGTACGCCAATTACCATTTTTCTCTTTTATTAGTGTAGATTATTTTTTAATAATTTAGATGAAAGTTTGCTCTATTTTTGGACTTATGTGTTAAGTTCTTCTTAGTAATTAAGGAAAAAAATTCTGTTATTGACTCAAACTATGGTTTTATTTTATTGTAAATCAGGTTGTTCTCAAAGAATAACTTTTTTGGGGGGAATCAGCATTAAGTTCTATTTGCCTCATAGAATTATTTTATATGAGCAGTTTCATTTCCATTTTCAAGATAGCATATATTGATTATTTCTCTTTTTAGACAGGAGAGAATGTTCAATTTAATATTCTTACATAGGATTAAAGTAGATGTGTCTGGTGCGTAAAAACTACTCTTAAAACAGCTGAAAATAGAGGCTTTTCTCTTTCTTTAAAATATGTTTTTATTGATTTTAGAGAGAGAAGAAGAGAGAGAAACATGGATTGGTTGCTTCCCCATTTGGTTCAGGACCAAACCCACAACCTGTGCTTTGATAAGGAATCAAATCGGCAACCCACTGATCCTTATCGGCCACAGCCCAGGCTTTTCTTTTTCTTTTCTTTTTTAAGGAAGATATCTTGATTGGATTTGTATAGTAAAGTAATTGAGAAAAAAAGGATTAACTGATTTCTTTTCTTCAGTGAACTTTTAATGATCCCAGGGCAGATGATCACAATTGCAGATTAAGAATGACTTATTTTAGCTATTGTAAATTGTGCTGCTATGAACATAGGGGTGCATATATCCTTTCTGATTGGGACACAGCCTAAGTGCCCATCAGCAGATGAGTGGATTAAAAAACTGTGGTATATCTACATAATGGAATACTACACTGCTATAAAAATGAAGGAATTCTTACCATTTGGATGGTAATTCTTACAGCATGGATGGAACTGGAGAGCATAATATTAAGCGAAATAAGCCAGTCAGAGGAAGGTAAATATCACATGATCTCACTCATATGTGGGATATAATGATCAACATAAACTGATGAACAAAAATGGATCCAGAGTCAAGGTGGCACTGAGTAGACCATCCAACCTCGAGAAGGCAGGGAAGGGGGTTAGAGATCAACCAAAGGACTTGTATACATGCATATTAGCATAATCAATGGACACAGACACTGGGGTGGTGGGGGCTTGCCCTCGAGGGTGAGAGTGGCGGAGGGAGGGTTAATCGGGGAAAAAAGACATAATACTTAAAACAACAACAAAAAAGAATGACTTATTTTGCTTTCAACCTCTTCCCTTCAGTATTTCCTATCTTTTCTTTCCTATCTTTTTCTTTACTGTGAAATACAAGAATTATAAATCATGTCATTAGTCATTAGTGACTTTCATTTACATCTTAAAGTATAATGACAAACTTTCAGTGTATTAGATAGTCAAGCTACATAATTCAAGAGCAGGGTTTCTTTTTTCCTGACCCCATCACCTTTTTTTGGCAGACAGTCATCTCCAAAGTTACTTTCAGAACTAAGTGTAGTTTAACATGTTTATACCACTGAAGTTCGCCCATTAAATTTTCAGCTCCCTCTATGCAAGCACTTGAAATATTTTATTTAAGTATATTTTTATTGATTTCAGAGAGGAAGGGAGAAGAAGAGAGAAATAGAAACATCAATGATGAGAGAGAATCATTGATTGGCTGCCTCCTGCATGCCCCCTACTGGGGATCGAGCCCGCAAACCAGGCATGTGCCCTTGACCAGAATTGAACCCGGGACCCTTCAGTCCGCAGGCTGACACTCTATCCACTGAGCCAAACAAAATAGGGCAGCACTTGAAATATTAATGTTAACAAATTGATAGTAATTGTAAAAGTGATTGGAATAATGTAGCAATAAAAACATCCTATTTTGAAATTCCTTTAAATGAAGAAAATAATTTAAATTGTATTTGAATGAGAAAGTGTTCTTTCCATTTAAAAATTTTTATTTCTTTATTAATTGATTTATGCTTTAAAACCAGAAAAAGTTGTCCAATGTTCACTGTGTCATTTCCTGAAGCTGAACTTTCACTGAACCACGAAAGCATTCAAGGTATGTTTTCATGGGTAGAGTCATATAAAGTAAATTTGTCTTAGTCTAATTAGATATATTTATTTACAACTGGGCTAGTCTAGTATATATTGCTACCATACATTTTAAAAAATATTGATTTCAGAAAGGAAGGGAGAGGGAGAGATAGAAACATAAATGATGATAAATCTTTCATCGGCTGCCTCCTACACACCCCCTACTGGGGACCCAGTCCACAGCCATTGAGCCACATCGGCCGGGTAAAAAATATTTTTTAAAAATGTTAATAGTGTACCAAATAGTCTCAATGCAAAAAGAAAAGCAACTATAGTAGAGTGTTTAAGACTTCTTAATGACTTTAAGAAATAGGAACCTGTTAATACATGTGCTTTTTGTTTTCTCTATTAAATACATAATGTTTATAAAGCATAGGATATTTTTGTTTGTCACTGTGTAAATAGAGAAGAAAGAAAACAGAATTGTAAGTCAAGTTGTCCTGGGATAAGAACTGTACCAAGAAAAGGGAAGACCACATAGCATCAGCAGCCACACATAAAAACATTTAATAAGTGGGGTCTAATTAAGTCCCAAGATGGCAGACTAACTTGATATTCAGTTAAGGAGACTTTTCTACACAGATTAGGTCCCTCATCTCTTAGGAAATTAAAGCCTTAGATGGTCCTGCTAGTCATGGTAAGATATTAAAATTGCAGGCATAAATTTGCAGTGATGCTAACAGAATAGGTCAGTATATAATGATGATAGCACAAAAGCTTTTGTAACACTGGCCACGTAAAACTTAAAGGTAGCATTCTTGGGCAAAACATTAGATCATAAAAAATAACGTTTGTGAAGTTTATTAAAGTAAAGCCAGATAATTGGCTGTTCAGGTTTGAATTGTCTTGAGGGAAACGTCTCATGTGCCAAGAAAAAATCAGTCAATAACTTTAATCATAAGAAAGCATAGGAACAGATATAGAAATAATGTAGAATGAATTATACCAATGTATTGTTATAGAATTAGGTTAAGAGTACTAATAAGTTTTATGGCCATTGTATTCATGTGTGTTTTGTCTAATAGTTAATATGTTTGAAATAGCAAACATGTTACATTTGCAGTTTAAATTATTTAAGGGAATTTAAGTTTGTAATTAATGTTGAAATATTAAAGAAACAGTAGTTTTCAGATTAAACAGAAGTTTAATAAATTGACCATTAAACAAATATAAATACAAATAGTAATGGATGTTTCTCTCCAAGTATAAAAGCCTTTGTGGTTTTTCAGATGTCTAATCAATAGCAAATAGCCTAATATAATTCAGATTATGCCAAACATGCCTTCCAAATGTGGTGAAAACCTATTTAGCATCTTTTACAAGATGCAATTTATAGATAAACTGGAACAGTCATGAAGCTACAGAGGTACCATATTAGAGATTGAAGTTCTTTTTTATGTAAGTACTAGAGGCCCAGTGCACGAATTCATGCACCAGTGAGGTCCCCCGGCAGGTGGGATCGGGCCAAAACCGGCTCTCTGACATCCCCCGAGGGGTCCTGATTGCAAGAGAGTGCAGGCTAGGGAGAGGGACCCCACTTGTGCTCAATCGGGGCCAGGGAGGGATGTGGGAGGTTGGCCACCTGAGGAGGGACCACAGCAGCAAGCTCACCTACCAGTCAGAGTGTCTGCCCCCTGGTGGTCAGTGCACATCATAGCAACTGGTCAACTGTCTGCCCCCTGGTGGTCAGTGCACGTCATAGCGAGTGGTTGAATGGCCTTAGCATATCATTAGCATATTACTCTTTGATTGGTTGAATGGACAACTGGATGACCAGACACTTAGCATATTAGACTTTTATTATATAGGATGTCTTGAACAATTTGAGAGAGAGGTGACATGGATGATAGCATGCCTTGGGTATTCCTTTCTCTCCTTTGGATTTTGATCATGATAACGAGGGTCAGCAATAGTTAGGCAAAAGATCTATTCTCATTTTTCTCATACTCGGTCCCAGAAAAACAGGGTTTTACTATGTCCTGCATTTCCCACACTTCCAACCTCCTACTCATTTGGCCTTCTGAGAGCCGTTATACCTTATGATGCTATTGGTATCTGCACTTTTGCCACACGAATAGCATCATAAGGCACTCATTGAACTTCTGAGTCACAAGTATTTTACTGAATGTTCCTTTAAAAGTGCCATGGTCACCAGAATTATAACTTCATGGTGTTTCTTGATGCCATGAAGCTTCTGTGACTTGAGACTCAGAAATAATTCCCTTCCCTTCTGACACTTCATTGCAGCTCCCTCTTGTCTTTACTCTTCAGAGTGTTCAGAACAGGAAGCTCCTTTTGTTATCATCCTAGACTGTGGGTTAATTTACATATAAAGAAACGATTACATTGTTAGATAGTATAATTGACTCTGTTCTCATACAATTCTATCTTCTCCCTCCCGATTCAGAGTAATTCTAATCAAAATAAGTAAATGATCTTTAGTAAATATGATAACATTGGCCTTAAAATAGTTGGTTTATAAGTTAAAATTCAGTTCCTCTGAGCATTTTCTTTTCATTTGGCACTTTAGAATTTATTTCATATACAGTACATTTTATCTTTTCAAGTGATAAGTAGAAAATCTTTTAATAATTTATTAAAGGAGAGACAAGAACTCAAGAAAAATACTTTTTTTATTTGTGAAAACTGTTTTAAGTAAATTTTGTTGCTGGAAAATGAGAATTCCTTCTATATGTGTTTTTAAATATAGTAATCAAATTATAGTAATACACTTCATTACATTAATTTATCAAGTTTTAAGAATAGTAACTATTGGCATAAAAGAATGATCATTTTTATATTGAGGTGGTTAGAAACAACATAAAAGATGACTGAGATTCTTTCTTTACAATTCAGAGAAGGAGGAGGAGGATGAACACTTTTTCTCTTTTTGAACTCTAACCCCAAAGGATTTGAGAGTTCATTAAAAACAAAAACCTCCTTGCAAAGATGATTGAAGATGTATCTATTGTTTTTAAAGTGTTCCTTTATTGGTATTACATTTTAAGCAACCAGAGTTATAAAATTTTAAACAAAGATATTGATAGTGTTATATATCATTATTGCTTGGCACAAAGGACTCTAATGCAAGGATAAGAAATGATTATTCTTATGACTTTTTGCTCATCATTCTTCGAGGAACTGGAATACCATGATATTAATCTTCCTAGCTGATTTTCTTTTTTTTAAAAAATATTTTATTGATTTTTTACAGAGAGGAAGGGAGAGGGATAGAGAGTTAGAAACATCGATGAGAGAGAAACATCGATCAGCTGCCTCCTGCACATCACAAACTGGGGACGTGCCCGCAACCAAGGCACATGCCCTTGACCGGAATCGAACCTGGGACCTTTCAGTCGGCAGGCCGACACTCTATCCACTGAGCCAAACCGGTTAGGGCCCTAGCTGATTTTCATAGCTTTCCTCTTCAAATGGCAAAGGTGAAGCAAATAATAATAATTATAGGTTTTTGCAGGCTGTAAAGCTCAGTAAGCATATAAGCTCAGTATGTTTATTTTCCCTCCTGAAAAACCTGTCTTGCTTGTGAGGATGCATTCTGAGGTTTGGTGGATAATTACTTGCTTACACTCTAGGTCTAGATATTGCCTAATCAAAAGAAACCAAAGTAATGACTCAAACATATGCCAGTGAGCCCTGAATTCCTGCGTAAGTGTGTCAGAGTGGCAGGGCCTTGCTGGTGCAGGTTGGAGGCAAGAGGAATGGAGGAGGAGAAATAGCTCTTTTCTTGATCCTCCTTAACTTGGTGTGAATTGCTGTCAGCCAGCTCATCTCAGAGGCAGCAGGCCAGGTGAGGAGTTGATGGTGAGGGCACATTTAGGACAACCTCCTGACTCTACATGGGGCATTCCTTTTCATGCTTAACTTGACAGCATGAATTTCTTTAAATTATATTACCTATACTGGATAAGAACACTGAGAAAGTAGATGTGATTTTTTCCCTTGTAGTTATAAACAGTTAGAATAGCTCAGCCAAAATAGAAAGGTTGGCTTTTAGCTAAAATAATTCCAAATAATTATAATTTTACTTGACTTCATGTAAAATATTTTTAAAGAAATGGCAAAATTTTCTTTTATAAACTTTATTGGCAACATAATGATACTTTTATATCAAATTGGTATAATATTTAGAAAATATTTGAAATGTTACATATATTTCTGAGGGAGTCATTTCAAGTTATATGATTAAGAAATGCCATGTGAGGGTACATATGGTTTTAGTACTTTAATAAAACTGGAATGTAAACATATATTTTTCTCTTCTAGGGCCTAAGGCTGAAAATCCTGAAGTTTTGCCATACCCAGCAAAGGTTGGTCTATATAACTGAGATGAAGTATGCAGATCATAGGTTTAGATTTTTTAAAAAAAATTATGTTGATTAAAGCCTCAAGCCCATTTAGACTCTTCCTTGGTCAATACTACTATACCTGTACCTTACTTCATCTCAGCTGTACCTTACACATTCCTGAGAACCCGGAAGCAAGAGAAAGAGCATAAAATTTGGAACCAGATAGATGTGCATTCCAAGTGTGTTATTTATATGTGTAGAATTCCACTTCACAGTGGTATGTGTAGATACCCATTTCACAGGATTGTGAGGACAGAGCAATGATAGCTCATGGTGTCTGGACCTTAGTTGGTGCTTAATAATATATGTTTCTCCCTTATTTCACTCCTTCACAAATTTTTTATTTCAGGCTCAAGTCCCTTTTCCTCTATGGCTCTTTCTCAGATAATTATGTTGATCTTGACCAAATTGCTTCCTCTTTAGCATTCGTTATTCACTGACTATATCAGTATTTCTTAAGCACTTGCATCCTATAAAATTAATAGATCTTTTGAGAAAAAGGATTTTTTTGAACAAAGAAGTTTGGAGAACACTGTATCCTAAAGTCTCCTCAGATTTATAATGTGCATACTATGAAAATTCTTATGGTAAAGAAACCAAGCATTTTTAAAACAATCATGAAAGCTTGCTGCAGACTCCCTCCTCTTCCCTTCTCCAAAAAACTATCTTGTAATACATTAGGCCACTCTATGGTTTATGCCATTCATTTGAGTTCATACAGTATTTTCGACATTATTTATACTTTATTTAATGTCTTATGTACTTATGCTTTTAATCTTCAGTTAGAAATTAAATTCTTTTAGGGCAGTGTCCAATATACAAGGTGTCCCAAAAAATGTATACAAGCTTTAACAGCTGATAGTTCAATTGATGTTTCTTTCTTTTTAGATTTAACGAACATTGCCTTTATAGTTATTCAAAGTGTGTATACTTTATTACATCTATGGCTTTGGATTTAATAGCTATAAAGATTTCAAATAGGAGGGAGACCTTGAACTGTGACTTTAAGAATGGATAGGATCTGGTTCTTGAATTCCTTCTAAATTCCTTTTATGTTTCAGAGAAAATTATAGTTTGCATTGCTGCTAAATAAATATATCTTCATAAGCTTTGTGTGTTATGTATGCAAGAAAATAAATGGTGGCAGGTAGAAAAGGAGGAGAGGGAATAAATAGTTTTCATTTTTCTTTCCAAATCAGAATATTAGAGGGCTTACAATTTACAGTTCATTTTATCACAGTGGTGTGGCAATGGAAGGTGGATTTGATTTTTAGGAATAGTACATTATTGAAACCCATTCTGTTATTTAAGGTCAAGCAAATAAATGGTTTTTAGTATTGACAAGAAGTTCAGTTCCTTTAAAATACTGAGAGTGGTTTACTTTAATGGCTTATAAAAAATTTGAAAGTACTTTCAAAAGAGGAAGTCTAATAACATTTTGAGCATTAGAAATACTTGAGAATGGGTGTAACCTATTTTTGAAAAATAGTCATTCAGAAATATAAGTTTTGTGTTTTTTTGTTTAAAAAATTCACAACTCAGAACCATTTATTTATAGGCAGGGCTCGTAATATTTACATAGAACTGTGCCCTCATTTCTCCTCTTTGTTCCTCTGACCTGTCTTTTGGCTTTTTTACTTCACATTTATATACTCATAAAGAGGTGGGAAATAAAAAGAAGGTGAAACTATACCAATTTTATTCCTGGTTAATAATTTTTTAAAAATTCAATGGGTTTATGACCAAGTTTTTGACAACCATTAACTGCAGTGAAATTTTGAGATAATCTGTTAACTATCCATGCCATCTCTGCTTCTTCTTTTAGCACAGTTAAACTTAGCTGAACAGATAATTTGCCATCTGTAATTATGGTCCAGCCAATTTTACCCTCGGTCTACTTTTGTTTGTTTAACCATTTGTTCATTAGTGATTTGGTATAGGAAAGTAGTATAGACTATTTTTATTTATAGAAGGGGAGGAAATTTGTTAAAATTTTTTGGTGATAACTTACTGACATGATAAATTAGAAAACTATAAAGTTTTCATTTTAAACACTTCTTTGTATATGCTGTACTGATGGAATTTCTTTTTTGAATACATAGGAGCTAAATGCAGACAGAGATTCTCCTGAAATTAGCCTTCTCTCAGGTACTGCTATTAAAGTATCTGATATGGTTGCTGTCAAGGAGAATTCGTTAATAGAGCCGCAGAAGATCTTAGCAGCACCAAATGTATTTTTTGAGTCTGGAAAGGAAGTCACATTAACCATCACTTCTGAAGAAACCAAAGATGAAGAAAGCTCTGTTGAAACTTTTGTTTCTGCCTTAGAAAAGTTAATAACATCACCAGCAAACACTCAGGAGGAGACATTGTTTGGAATAATGAATGATATTGAACCTAGAGAGTTGATGAGCCCATTGAGCAACTCTTTGAATTCGCTATCAATACCTTTGACATGTCACAGAGATTTACTAGAAAACACAAAGGATGATGCATTGCCAGCTGAGTTGTTAGCAGCCATAAACACATTGTCAGAAGCCACGGTGGGACCCAGTTGTCACAGAAAAGAGGGAGGCAGCAGTCTCAGTGCTGGAAATGAATGTTTAGGAATAGAGCCCAACATGTCTCAGACTGATGAAGATTGTACACAAATAGCAGAGGTGAATTTTGAGTCTCTTTGTTCTACTCCACCATATGAACAAGATTCCAAGTTAGCCGAGCTGCAGGACAAGCATCCTTCAGTGCAGCAAGTAAGTGCAAGTATGAGTCTGATTTTGCCTTTTATAAAAGTGCCTTTTAAGAAGTCTTCATTGCCCATATACTTTATTTTAAAATCAAGCTTTCTACACAAATATCAACACTCAGAAAAGAGTTTTTGACTTTGAAGCATAGTGATCTATTTTTTTTTTAATTTTAAATATATTTTGATTGATTCAGAGAGGAAGGGAGAGAGAGATAGAAACATCAATGATGAGAGAGAATCATTGATTGGCTGCCGCCTGCACAGCCTCCACTGGGGATCGAGCCCGCAACCCTGGCATGTGCCTTGACCGAGAATCAAACTGTGACCTGGTTCATAGGTCGACACTCAACCACTGAGCCACACCAGCTAGGCTAGTAATCTTTTTAGAGGTTCCTAGGGTTGAGTTTTCAAGGGGGCAAAAGTTAAAATAGATCAGTTTCTCCCCAGAAGACCTGCAAAGACATATCATTAGATTGCTTATATACAGGAAAGAGAGAATTCTTTACCAGAATTTTCCCTATGACCTAGGAAAGTCACTATGTCTACCTGGGTGCACAGTGGAGATGAGATACTTACCCCACATTAATCTCTAACAGGACATAAATATATGTAATTGGGCTGCTAAGAGAGGGAAAAAGTATGCCTGGCTTCAGGAGAACTTTGCATTCTGTGTCTGAGGATACTGCCAGGTGTCACAGTGCCTACAGTATCATGCCCGGAGACCCTGCAGTGGCCTACCACTTGCCAAGTCCCTTTTCCTTGTTGAAAATTAAAAAAAAAATCATTACTGTTTTCCTGATTAAAATAGTAATATATCCTCATTATACAAAAATTAAGCATTACAGCAATACATAATAATATAGTCTCCCACAATTCCACTTTCCAGAGATAATCACTATTAACAGTTTAGTGTATCTCTAATTACTTCTATGCATAGTCTATATAATTTTATGTAAATGGGACTATAATACATATAATGTAAACATATTTGTTTTTTAAATTTAACAATAATCTTGGTTATCTTTCTGCCTCAGCAAATGTAGCACACAACTTAAATATTTTTATTTGCTGCATGTCATTCTACTGTATGATTTGTGTGTGTGTGTTTATGTGTGTATGTGTAATTTATTTGAACGATTCACTAATTATGGTTATTTGGATTATTGTTCTTTCTTTTATTTTGGCTATTATCAAAATGCTCCTGTGAACATCCCTGGGAAGATTTAAATAACATGATTCTAAGGTCATACTGCAACATACATACCTAGGATAAAAGACTACATGTAATTCTGGTAAAAAAAAAAAATCTCAAAACAGACATAATAGGACTAAAAATTATTCAGAAAAAGAGAAACTAATCACAGGAATATGGCATGAAAATTAAAACATTTGAGTATTCTAATCTGAAATGAGGTAGTATGAGTAACGTGTAGGAAATTATGATTGGTATTGTTAGAGTAGGCATGACCTTAGCAAGTCTTCAAGAAAAAAACTTTTTAAAAGTAGAAAGAAGAAATCTTTGAATAATTGCTTGAGTTTGCTAATTTTCTTTTTTGATTAAGGTATTACTTATGTGTCCTTATCTCCCCATTGCCCCCCTACCCCTACTCATGCCCTCACCCCCCTGGTGTCTGTGTCCATTGGTTAGGCTTATATGCATGCATACAAGTCCTTTGGTTGATCTCTCCCCCTTAACCCCACCCTCCCCTATCTTCCCTCTGAGGTTTGACGGTCTGATTGATGCTTCTCTGTCTCTGGATCTATTTTTGTTCATTGGTGTATGTTGTTCATTATAGTCCACAAATGAGTGAGAACATGTGATATTTATCTTTGTCTGACTGGCTTATTTTGCTTAGCATAATACTCTCTAGTTCCATCCATGCTGTAGCCTGTTTGTGCAATGAGTTTTGTCCCAGTGACATTAAATAATCATTGTTGATTATTGGTTGTTTATTGAATATTATATTTATCTAGGGGCCCAGTGTACAAATTCATACACCTTGAAAGGAATTGTGGGCCGTGAGATTGCTGTGGGCACAGGGGCGGGTCTCGGCCCATCTCTGGGCCCCCGCCCAGCACTTCCTGCCGCAGCCCCCAGTCCCCTGTCTGCTGGCAGCCTTGCTCCTGCCACTCCCATGTGCTGATGGCGCTGGCCCCACTCACACCTACTGATGGTTGGAGTGATCAATCCAGCGCCAGCAGCGGATGTGAGTAGGGCCGGTGTGGTCAGTGGGTGCGAGCGGCGGCTGCCGGCCCCGATCGCCCTGCAGGAGTGGGTGTGTGTGTGTGTGTGTGTGTGTGTGTGTGTGGAGAAGCCTGAGGGGCGATTGGGGCCATCAGCTGCCACTTGCACCCGCTGATGGTGCCAGGCGATCGGGTCCAGTGCTGGGTGCTGGCAGCAGGTGCGAGTGGTGGCTCCAATGCCGGCAGCGGGTGTGAGCGAGGCCAGCACCAGCAGCAGGTGCAAGCGCTGGGCAGGACCGCGGTACACGGGAGCAAAGAATTTTCAGTAACCACCAAAGGCTCGCCCCGATGATAGCGATTGGCGCCCTGCCTTGGTCTGGCGCCCCCACTCACCTATTTTACCATCCTACTGTGGCCAATGCCCACCATGTTTAGCACTCTGCTGCCTGCTGCCGACGCCTGTCATGTTCTGTGTGCGCCCCCTGGTGGTCAGCGCAAGTCACAGTGACTGGTTGTTCAGTTGTTCCGCCGTTCGGTCTATTTGCATATTAGGGTTTTATATATGTAGATAATTGTAATCAATACATATAAACTATTACCAATGAAAATTATTAATTTAATGTTAAAAGAAACCATGATTAAATATATCACTCAAAAAATAAATAAAATTAGAAAGAAGATTGATTTAGAACAAAAAAATTAAATACTCTTACACAGTGGTAATAAAAATATGTATAAATAATTCAGGAAAGCTTTACATGATATTTATAAAAATATATTTCATCATGAAAGTTAAATCTACAATGAATTATTAAGGAGGGAAGTTAGAGCTATTCATAATATACTGTTAACCTTTTAAAATCAGTATAATAATTATATATTATCTTATTCCACAAAATATCATTAACTACTGCTGTCAAATAACAAAATATCTAGGCTGAATAGAACATAGATCTAGCCTAGTGTGGTATCTCTACCTTTTGTATGTGTCTATGCTACCTGTTTCCTGTGAAAAAGCACCCAGGTTTGCCACTAAATTTTAAGGATGAATATTGATAAAAATAACTTTTACTTATATTCTGCTTAACTTAGGCTTTTAAATATGCACTGTCTTTTATTATATAAACCAGAGGCCTGGTGCACAATTGTGCATGGGTAGGGTCTATAGGCCTGGCCAGTGATCAGGGCCTTCCAGCTGCCAGCCGAGGCCTTCCTTCCAGCTGCAGGTTGGGGCTTTCCTTCCCTGGCTGCTGGCTACCAGCTGGGACCTTCCTTCCCCAGCTGCCAGCTGCTGGCCAGGGCCTTCCTTTCCCACCTGCCGGCTGCTGGCTGGGGCCTTTATTCTGCACCACCCCCTGGTGGTCAGTGCATGTCATAGAGAGCGATTGAACTCCCAGTCTCCTGGTTGAACTCCTGAGGGGACACTTTGCGTATTAGCCTTTTATATATATACTAGAGGTCCGGTGCACAAAAATTTGTGCACTCGGGGGTAAGGGGCCCCTCAGCCCTGCCTGTGCCCTTTCGCAGTCTGGGACCCCTCGGGGGTGACCACTTGTTGGCTTAGGCCTGTTCCCCGGGGGATTGGACCTAAGATGGCAATCAGACATCCCTCTGGCAGCCCGGCAGCCCTCGGGGGATGTCCACTTGCCAGCGGGGAGCAGACTTAAGCTGCAGTCAGACATCCTTAGCACTGCTTTGGAGGCAGGAGAGGCTCCCACCACCACTGCTGTACTGGCAGCCATCAGCCTGGCTTGTGGCTTAGCAGAGCTCTCCCCTGTGAGGGCGCACTGACCACCAGAGGGCAGCTCCTGCATTGAGCATCTGCCCCCTGGTGGTCAGTGTGTGTCATAGTGACCAGTCATTCCCAGTCTTTCTGCTGTTAGGGTCAGTTTGCATATTACCCTTTTACTATATAGGATAGAGGCCTGGTGCACGGGAGGGGGCTGGCTGGTTTGCTCTGAAGGGTGTCCCGGATCAGAGTGGGGTTCCCGCTTGGGTGCCTGGCCAGCCTGGGTGAGGGGCTGATGGCTGTTTGCAGCTGGTCACACCCCCTTAAGGGTGGGGGTCCCCACTGGGGTGCCTGGCCAGTCTGGGTGAGGGGCTGAGGGCCGTTTTCAGGCTGGCGGGCGACTGAGGCTCCCAGCCTCTTTTTTTTTTTTATTCTGGGATTTATTTACCTTCTATAGCTGTCACTGGAGCTGAGAGCCGGCTCCAGCTCTGAGGCTGTGGCTGGCTGAAAGCAGGTATCTGGGGTTTATTTAGCTTCTATAATTGAAACTCTGTTGCCATCACTGACGCTCTAGGCCCTGAGCCCACTGCCGGCTGAAAGCAGGTATCTGGGGTTTGTTTAGCTTCTATAATTGTAACATTGAGGCTTCCAGAGCTCAGAGCTGGGCCGCGGCAGGCGGGGAACCTTGGCTTCCTCCATCACTGGAGCAAGCAAGCCTCATGTTCACTTCAGCTGCATGGCTGCCGGCCACCATCTTTGTTGGCAGTTAATTTGCATATCCTGCTGATTAGCCAATGGGAAGCGTAGCGGAGGTATGGTTAATTACCATGTTTGTCTATTATTAGATAGGACTAGAGGCCCGGTGCACGAAATTCGTGCACTGGGGGGTGGGGTTCTCTCAGCCCAGCCTGCCCCTCAGTCCGGGAGCCCTCAGTGGATGTCCTACTGACGGCCACAGTCTGGCAGCAGAGGCTCGGAGCAGGAGTCCCGTGTGTGTGTGTGTGTGTGTGTGTGTGTGTGTGTGTCTGCTGGGGACTGCCCCCAGCCGCGCCATGGAGGCTCGGAGCAGTTGCCGTGTGTGTGTGTGTGTGTGTGTGTGTGTGTGTATCCCCGCTGGGGGTCTTCCCCCAGCCACATTGGAGGCTCAGAGTAGGCGCTGTGTGTGTGTGTGTCTGCTGGGAGCCTGCCCCCAGCCACACCGTGGAGGCTTGGAGCAGGCGCCCCTCTCTGTTGATCTCTCAGGCTCTGGCCTCCACTGCGTGTTGTACTCTCCCTTGAGCTGTGGCCAGGGTGGGGGGTTGCCTGCAGGCCACCCTTTTCCTGCTCTGGGATCGCACGGTGACCCAGGAGCAGGCCCACATGGGGGCTGCCTGCAGGCGCCCTTTTCCTGCTCGGGGATGCCACACCGACC